ACACTTTAAAACAATAAAATTTTTCCTTTAATCATCTAGCTAATCTAGCGTTTACATACATACATACATACATACATACATACATACATACATACATACATACATACATACATACATGCATGCATGCATGCATGCATGCATGCATGCATGCATGCATGCATACACACACACATACATACATACATACATACATACATACATACATACATACATACATACATACATACATACATACATACATACATACATACATACATACATACATACATACATACATACATACATACATACATACATACAAACATACATACATACATACATACATACATACATACATACATACATACATACATACATACATAGATACATGCATACATACATACATAGTGGGACCCATATATTAATGCTTTAAGTATTAACACCCATGCATATTAATGATAACTGTATTCCTAAAGCATGTATTAAAAAAAACCCTTTAATTATAGCTCAATGGTAATGTTATTCATCTACCAGTTGATAGAGTGTATAATTGTATTCTTTGTATCATTAATAGCAAATGTGTAACGATTGCGTGAGCTATACGAAGATAAGCAGTATCTGTTATGATATTTGTTATAGACATATTTGTACGGTTGGTCTTAATAAGATGTTCCATATATGTGTGAGTGCGTATGTGTGAGTGCATATTTGTGTGTGTGTGTGTGTGTGTGTTTTCAACGTACCATTTAAACATTTTTCAGTCAAATCGCTACGGTGTCTGCAATGTGGCAGTTTATAGTAATGACTAGCACTGAGGCATCATGCCGCAGACATGTAGCATGATGTCACACCCAGTCACATTATCCTGACACCAAGACGACCAGTCCTAACATTGAGCATCAAGCGAGGCAGCTGCTAGTTTTGATAAGTATTTGGTATGACACTGCCGGTGTTTGAACCAGCAACCTCCCGTATCCTAGGCGGGCGCTTTAACCACTTTGTCCACCGGAGCGGTGTTCCATGTCGTAAATGCGTTAGTTGGTGCAGGATTTGTCCGTAAGCCTGTAATTCAATTCTTTGTTGTGTTTCATCATCAAATGTTATCCTAAACCTAATCAACCTTATGGGAACACATTGTGGCTGAGTGGTCTAAGGCACTAGTTTAACCTATCACACTCATCTCACCTCTGTCCGCGTAGGTTCGAGTCTCGGACATGGCCCATATGGGTATATGAGGAACCTGTCCAATAACTTTTCTTGGGTCAATAATTCTTCTCGGTATTTTGCCAGGTTTTTCCTCCGCCTACTAAACTGGCCGCTATATATCCTAGCATGTACTGAAAATGTCCCTAAACCTAAAACAATAACTCTCTCTCTCTCTCTCTCTCTCTCTCTCTCTCTCTCTCTCTCTCTCTCTCTCTCTCTCTCTCTCTCTCTCTCTCTCTCTCTCTCTCTCTCTCTAAACACGGAAAATGTCATATATATATATATATATATATATATATATATATATATATATATATATATATATATATATATATATATATACACCGCCATCTCTCTCTCTCTCTCTCTTACACACACACAGAACGCAAGAAGTTATTTCAGGCCACAGTATTTTTTATTTCAATGAAACTTTAAAAATGACAGGGCAAAGTATATGTTGTAACAGACCACATCCAGAACTATAACGCTAAAGTAAAGATATCTTCAAAACAAACAACAAGATTACTAGATTTAAGACCAGACTGTATCTATTAATCCAAAGTTATTTTCATCTTACACGGAAAAAAAATTAGCACTTGGTTTCGGTTGATTGTTGTTTAATTAGATATACTAAGATACACAATATAACTACAGTTATCGTGACTATATATAATCATTGAACCAGTTCTCATGCGTAGAGACACGGTGAACATTCAATTAAAGACTTACGATTGGCAATGCTATTTTGAACACCTCCCTCAGTTCTGTCTTGCATCCAAATGGAAAAATCTTCTGGTACAAGCTCCGAAGACAGGGCATTTTATTTTTTATAATTTCGTCTTTTTCTTTTTAATTTTACTCTTATTTCACGAAAATTCACTAACCTTTACTAACACAAACAAGACTTAGTTGCATTGTATAAATATCTTAAACAACTTTGTGTTTCTTGGGTTGGGTTGATTTCCAGCTCCTTTTATATAATCCGTAAAAAAAATTGAAAGAAAAGTGACAGGTTGCTGAAAATATCACATCTTTACCAGCGAGTTCAAAATTCAGTTTGCCGATTTCACAATATGGTGCAAGAGCTTATAATTAAATAACCAAGTATGAAAAGTCACGAAACACCGGTATTCTGGCGTGAGCCTGCATACATTGAATAGACGACGAGGCTGTAATAAAACAGAATTATATTTTTGCTTTACATTAGAATAATGTTACTGTCTTTTAATTTTGCATTTTGTTTCAGACATTCATGGCTGCATGTACATGTTTTGCAATTTTTCATTTGCTTGTATTAAAAAGGATGCACGTCGTTAGCGATAATTGTTTTCTTAAAGGACTTTTACCAATGATAACCCTAATCGAATTATCGATAGCGTAACTATATAAAATCATCAAAAACTTAATCTCACCTGTCTTACCTGTATCAAGATTCATAGAAAATATACCACTCCTAAATTTGCACCAGGAAGAAATATAAGTCAATAGTGAGTGCTGTCTTAAGGCAGGGGCTAACTGGGGAGTGGCCCAGGGCCTCACGCTTCTACAGGCATCATGCTGCCCATATTGTTAATGAAATGTAGGACCCGTAGGAGGCTCCAGTGCGTTGTTTTGCCGGGAGCCGACAATGTTGTTAAGACGGCATTGTAGTGCTTTTTCAACCTGACCATTGTCATGACTCATTGTTTCCATTTACGCACAGTTGTGCGTTAGGGACGCGTTTTTTTGACGCACAGGATTTGCAAAATATAATCAGGATTTATTTAATATCCAACGCGTTGCAGTAGAGATGGTATCGTGTATACTTCGATTACACATCATTAGGGATGGCATCGTGAATACTTCTTCCGGTTTCCTGTTTCGTATGCTCTCTGTGTTGCACACTGCCATTAGGCAATATTATGACAGAGTAGCTTCCCCTGATCTCGCCAGCTCTCACGCGATTCTATCGAGTTGAGCAAGATGTCCAGATGTTTAAACTCAATTCTTGTTGCTTTAAAATGTGATCTCGAGATGAAAACAGCGTGCACCAAGAATCATTAGCGAAGAAAGTGAAAAAAGCAAAAAAGGAAAGAGTAAATGTGGATCTGACCCTAATAAAAAAAACGGATAAATGTTGTATTTTTATACTAGAATATGACACATCCAAGGCATTGTTATTACCGGTGTGACTTCGTGATTGCGTGAATAAACCTTACGTGACATCATTTAAGAATTTTTAAAATCTGCCCTTGATCACCACAAGATATCTTTTGAACACATTATTACCTAAAACATTCTTTGAGAGTAAAGAAATAAGTAAAATTGCAGAGGCAAATCCATTATTTGGATTACAAATTCAGGGGTTCGTTGCAGATTTTTCTAACTGTTGCAACGAAAGAAAGATCGAAAAGTTCAAGTGTAACTTGTTAAAGAGAAGACGAATCATTAGTCTCTGATTTTTGTATAAATGTGTTTTAAGACGAAGTACAATGAAACCGATGATAGTACACATTTTATGACAGGCAGTAAATTAACTGTCGTTTTGTTAAAATTATTTATATGGAGTTTTGCATTGGCTTATATGTTATGTGTTGGTCTATAATATTTCTACAAAAATTATAATGAGACTTTAAAGTACGACTTTAAACTAAAAGGAAAATTAACTAATAAAAGTATCCTTTGAATGGATAATGCATTTGTGTTAATTGTGCCTTTTGGTTTTATTTGTATTTGAGAGAGAGAGAGAGAGAGAGAGAGAGAGAGAGAGAGAGAGAGAGAGAGAGAGAGAGAGAGAGAGAGAGAGAGAGAGAGAGAGAGAGAGAGAGAGAGTATTGTGCAAATTGCAATATCCTTTTCCCGCTGAAAAAGTATGGATTAGATGAAAATTTGTCGGTACATTTTTGACCCCCACAATTTTTATTTGACCCCCAGTTCTTTCACCAAAGGGTTTTTTACCCTCAGTTTTACACTCCTGGGTGATACACTGGTCATGACCGACAAAGACTACTTGAAAGTTAGCAAATTTGGACAATTGCAACGAAGCGTCAATGTATAACCTGTTGTTTCGGTGAAGGTTAACGAAGAACTGCACAATTTTACCTTGAGTTTTCATAAAAGATTTTCTTTATTTTTTGGGGGTTTAAAAAAATAAATTAAGGGGTTCTACTGTGCGCAAGAGAGCAAACAAAACGAGGTCCGCAAAGAAAACAGTATTTTTTTAGCCAAAGCGGTATAAAATACAGTAAATGTGACGCCAGTGAATAACGCCAATTTCATCGTGATTACATAGTAGACACGTTGTGACACTTGTCAAGCACACTCTTAAAATGCCGTTCTTTCTAAATATATGGCATTAGTTACCAGGTAAAGGTTTATCTATTGTTGTGAACAACAATTTAATGCCAAAATTGCAGGCTACATTGCCAATACAGAAACAACATATAAAGTAAAAAATTATTGATTCTTTTCTTGCGAAAAAGAAAAAAAAACTTCAACTCTTTTCCGTTTTACCTTCTTGATATTACTTTTGTATGTATGTATGTATGTATGTATGTATGTATGTATGTATGTATGTATGTATGTATGTATGTATGTATGTATGTATGTATGTATGTATGTATGTATGAGAGAGAGAGAATTGATTTTTGTGTATTGACTGAGAATGAACTCCTCACATCCACGAGTGTGCCCGCTACAAAATCTAGTTATATGACCTCTCTCTCTCTCTCTCTCTCTCTCTCTCTCTCTCTCTCTCTCTCTCTCTCTCTCTCTCTCTCTCTCTCTCTCTCTCTCTCTCTCTCTCTCTCTCTCATCCTTTGGTTCGTTTTTGTACCGCTGCGGGTGGCCTAGTGGTTAGAGCGTCCGCCTCGGATGCGGGAGGTCGTGGGTTCGAATGGTCCTTGCTTGGAGCTCAGCATTAAGAGGTTAGTGTTAGGAATGGTCGGCCTGGTGTCAGGATAATGTGACTGGGTGGGACATCATGTTACATGTCTGCGGCAGGATGCCTCAGTGCTAGGCATCACTATAAACTGCCACACTGCAGACATAGTAGCAATATGACTGAAAATTTTTTAAAATCATAATCATAATCACATAATATCTTACTTGTTGGCAATATTTTCATAATATCTTGTATACTTGTTGACAATATTTTCATAATATCTAGTATACTTGTTGGCAATATTTTCATTTTCCTTCGGTGTCATTTTCCCCCTTGTTGGTCTTGTGACTAATGCTTTGCTTGGCTTGTTGCAATTAGTGTTGAACAAGACAGAATGTTTAGAGGTCGCACTTATACACCATTTATATAACAGAGGGTGAACATATTATCATAAATAAAATGCTATAAAGATTCCAACAATGGCTGATGAAACATATTTTTTTAATCAGAATCATAACTTTTGGCATGTTTCACTCTTTTATATTTGCTCTTAACTTTTTTAAAAATAATTTTAGTGTTTTGTTGGGGGTTTTTTTTGTTGTCTTTTTTGTTTTGTTTTGTTTGTTTTTTATTCTTGTGAATTTGGTTGTTTATCTTTATTAGATCATATGCAAGTTGCCATTCAGTCTTCTTCAAATAACTTCTCTTTGCGCACAAAGGACGAAATTAATTTCCTCTGGTTATAATACAATTAAACTCTGTTTATGTCATTAGAAAGAATGTTGCAATTTTTATTAAAAGTTATTTCTATGTTACTTAGAGTTACTTTCACTTTAACAAGTGTCAAATGAAGCATTACCATGACTCGAATTATTCAGATGAAATTTATATATACCGTGTCTCCTGCCACAGGGAAATAACTCTTGAAACACTGTCATATGTCAAGAACAGTAAACACGTATTTTGTGAAGACGTGCATTTTACCCACGCGACTTCCCCCACATCAAATTTTTTTTTTCCTTGAAGATCTCACTGTATTATATATTATTCAATTAATATTCAGCTCGTATGTATATCATACAGACTGCGAGGTTCAAACCCTATAAAGTCAGTAATTTTAATGGAAATGCATTAACCTGACGAAAGGAACTTATCAATGGCTTCTTTAAATGGAAGTATTCCCGAACTTTATTAGAAATTGTCGTAGAGAGTTAAAAGAATAACATTCTGTAAAATATTGTAACTTCGCCCAACGTAAGTTCAGCCAGGCAAGGTATATCCGGTACACCTGATATATGCAACGCGATGCTAATACGGCATGAATTTCATCAAAGGTTTTGAGCAAATTGTTTTCCAATTATTTAAAAAAAATAAAGAAGTAGAACACTTATGTATTTTACCTTTGTAAATGAATGGTCTTCCCCGTTAAATGCGATCAAGCTTAACATTAATGAAGCTTTTTTCCCTAAAAAATGAAAAAACTAGCGAAAAGGGGTACTCTGAAACCGCTATCGCTTACATCCATCAGTATATTACGAGTCCAGGACATTTCAGAAACTTATTTGTTACATAATGTTTAACGTTCACCCTTGTGGTATAAAGTTATGCCACGAAGACAATTTGCCGTGCTGTGAGGTTATACCAGACACTGTCACATCGCTATGCAATGTATATTCACCTTATGAGATAAACTGAATCTAAGGTTCGTGCTAATTTGGCCAAAACATCTAGCTAGCTGAATAATCCAATATGCTACTGGATACAACCAGCTCATTGAATATGACGTTCTTCAGCTCGATTCATAAACATTATATTACACGAACACGTATGCGATCCTCTCTTTGCTCAAAGTATGACATCAAATTTTCGTACGTCACGATTACCCGGAAGTGATGTGCCATTTTCAGAAGTAACAGATACTAGTGTCAATAAAAATTGTACTGAAGTTTTACAATTATTCAGGAGATGATAATGCCTTTGTCTTTAATATTAAATATATGATTCAAAACAATGATAAAATAAAGAAATCTAATTAATAGTATTATTTATGTTTTACGGTAAGTTATGAAATTTAGTATTTTTGTTGATCGATTATTGAATCTTAAACCTATACTAATATATATATATATATATATATATATATATATATATATATATATATATATATATATATATATATATATATATATATATATATATATATATATATATATATATATATATATATAAATTGCATTGAGTGTTTGACCTTTGCCCTTAAACGTGGGTAGTGACTTGGTCTATCTGACCATTCGCATATTTGTGTCATGTTTGTTTGCTATAAATAGATTGTTTATTATTATCTGAGTTCAAGAAATAGCCTTATTTACAAACTTAAACTGTTATTGAAGCGAACACATATTCACGTCCCCGTCATCTCATTGTGTCTTAGGAGTTTATGAAAGGTTTGGCAAACAAAATTAATTATTCCTCTTTCAAAGTTAGTCTGTGGAATCATTATTGTTGTGCTTCAATATAATCTGAGACAAATCATTTATTTAAATTATTCATTGAAATTGCAATGCGTTCAGGAACGATTTGGACTAAATCATTATTTTTGGATGTTTGTGAATTCATTCAAGTATATTCTGGATTATATAATCGTGATACATCAAGACTATTGGTACATCAACCTATTCAAGAGTATTGCATATCAGCACATTCAATATTGGAATTATTTCGGAACATTCTATACTTCTTGACTTGTGATAGAACATTTATATTTTGGGACATAATTTAAAATACTATCTACTCCTCTTAAATTTTAGTTATTTGTTGATGTTAATAATTTATATGATTTTGTTTCATTCTTTTACTTAGTTTAAAACCATAGATTCGTAACAGTAACAGTGTAGGTCCTCTGGCACAAGCGGCAGAAATAGAGGGAAATTGTCAATATTTTATAAATGGCTATCCTCAGAACAAATTTAAAACTCTCATTGTCGCTTTTCTCCCACTATTTTCCCTTGTGCTTATACATATATTAGGAACATTGTACTTTTAATAGAATAGATGATGATCATGCTAAAATGTTCATCTTAGATACAATAATCAAACTTTCCATGCAATGCAAGTTTATAAAGAACATTAAATCCTAAAAAATAATTAGAACATGACTACAATTAATCTGGTAACATGACGCCTAAAGGTTAAGTCTGGGACGCGAACAACAGTTAGACGTCAAGATGCTTTCACGTAAATATATTTAGCAATATAAAACTATTTATTGATTTGGCCCAAAGGGATGACCTCGTTTTAATACAAATAACGTACCTTCTAAGCTGTTCAATTGCATATATTTAGAACAATATATAAAACAGTCATTTTCTTTGTAATGGGATCGTGCATGTTATTTATGCTCTTTCTCTCTCTCTCTCATTCTCTCTCTCTCTCTCTCTCTCTCTCTCTCTCTCTCTCTCTCTCTCTCTCTCTCTCTCTCTCTCTCTCTCTCTCTCTCTCTCTCTCTCTCTCTCTCTCTCTCTCTCTCTCTGGCTAAGTGGTCTAAAGCGCTCAACGTTACGAATCACTACCATCTCACCTCTGTCTGGGTAGGTTAGAGTCTCGGGTTAGGCCAATATGGGTATGTGCGAAAGCAAGCTTGCCGGAAGCTTCTCGTGGGTCGGTGGTTCTATCCGGGTTTTTTACGGGTTCTTTTCGTCCACCATTTATACTGGCCGCCTTGGATGTCTTATATTGTGCTGAAAAATGGCGTTAAACCCTACAACAAAATCTCTCTCTCTCTCTCTCTCTCTCTCTCTCTCTCTCTCTCTCTCTCTCTCTCTCTCTCTCTCTCTCTCTCTCTCTCTCTCTCTCTCTCTCTCTCTCTCTCTCTTAGAGCAATTAATTATCTATGACAATCAGAACTGTTCGGTAAAGTATGCTGGACACATTGTTTCACATGCAGCTCAATCTCCTAGACAGTGCTGTGTGTATGGGTTTGCAGTACTATATATGCATTCGTATTTACCACTTACATTAACACAAATCGAAAATTAATTGAGGATGCAGTGAATTACGTTTCTTGCTAAACAGGCTGTACTAAGTTAATGGATTATGATCTGCATATATGCGAAGCAGGTAAACTGTCAACGTAATTTCCCGTTGGTTCATTCATAACATAGACCCATCAAGTTGGTTTCTAATTATAAGGGTGAAAAGGAGAAAAAATATTTAATTTTGGCTTGAATTTATGTTTTATACGATATTGCATCGTGTCCTTTATAGTACGTGCTAGAGCACCAAATTCTATTCCTGTACAACTGTAAAACTGTTCATGTACAGCGGATAATTTTATGCAGAGAAAATATGCTTAAATCTATATATAGTACTCTCTATTTTCCGTTCACAGTGCTAAATCCTCCGTCTGATCTTTAAAAATGTGTGTTTATATTTATTAATTATGTTGATTTTGTGATATTACATGATGTGGATCAATGCAAAATATTATTCTTATTAAAGATGTGTAATCTCACACAAAATAGGAAGTCACATTTGGTTTCGAATCTCGGCATTCGAACTCTCCAGTGCGGTGGACGGGACGGGGGTGGGTGGGTGTTATATTGATAAAACCTTGAGAGGGGCCTTTTAGGCTAGATATGACAGGGATCCCTTCAGCTCTCGCGAATAATCATGCTCAATATCACTTTACTTCACGGCAAACAGAGGAGCCAGATCTGTATCTTTATTTGAAATGGAGAGAAGTAAATGGAATGATACGTAAATGACTCCGACTTTAATTGAAAAAGTTGTTACGTTTTCTGCAGTCCTCATCACTCTCGTTCACGACGTCAACTTATTCATCTAATAACCTAATATACACGATAGAACTTGGTAACGTACATATATCGTCAAAGTAATCGCAGTTTATCTCTTGTAAATGTGGTCAAGGGTTCAATACCTGCCCATGCCAGCTGATTTCATCTGTCTAGGCGTGTCCTTGAGAAATGCACTTTGCTCCCATTTCCTCAGCATGATGCGGCCAATTGAAATGCT